CAATGGGACGAAACGTAAATCAGAGGAAACTTCAGGGGAAATCTCCTCCTAAGGGAGGGTGTGAGTTCTACCTGTTTGCCTCTGCTTCCTTCTACTTCAGGATTGGAGCACAGACATCATGGCTAGAGCTACAGTAGTCACGTTAAACCTTTAGTTGATCTGGAGGATAAAAGTCTGGTCTAGGACAGTGGGACAGAATCAGACCTGATGTCCCTGAAGATGCGTGGGGACTGCCATGCTGACCCTGAACTGCATAGCTCCACATGGCCTTTTCCAACATGTGAATGATGCTAGTGAATGAACAAAATAACTTCACGCTTGCTTACACTACATATAATGTTTTATTCAATTACATGCATTCAAACTAACTGTACCTTAGAGACCTAAGGAAGAGTGGTTAAGCTCACTCCCTCTGAATCTATAGCATAGGGGAGCCCAAAGTGCTCCCTGAGATCCCTGTGAGTCCCTGGGTTGGATATTCACATGGTTCCCACCTCTGCTCTTGCTAGATCTGCCTTGCTCTGAGCCCACCTTGGAACCCAAATTCCTCATTGATTTCTACAAAAATGCAGCTGGGTAAAGCATCATCCCTCCCAGGAACAGCAAGCTTAAACCCATCAGACTTTCCTATCAGTGCTGGGCTTCCTCCCACTCTGCCTCTACCAATTCTCTCATGGCCTGGCCTGCGGGTAAGTTCACGGAGACCCTAGAGGGGGAGTGGGGATGAAAAGGAAACAAGAGACACCAAGAATGGAGACAAGACCAAGTCCATCCAATCAAGTCTCGTTTATTCAAGGAATGAGTATCAAATATATAGGGTACTGGGGAGGAGGGAGTTGGGTTCTGAAACGTCAGCAGGTAACTTAGCAACAGTGGCAAGACTGAGGGTCATAGGTTAATTCAAATTTTCAAATTTCCCACGGGCGGGCTCATAAGGTGGGCTGATTAGCATAATTCCTGAATAGGCCAAACAAGCTAGGCAAGGTGCTGCTTAACTACCAAACTTAACTCCTAGAGGGAGTTAAAGTGCTACGGCCTGCATTATAAGGTGGCAGCCAATTACAGGGCTTCCCACACTCTCACAGAGCTTTAGCCAGAACCCACCGCTCTGTCTATTCCTTCTTCCCCCTCCCTCTCTCCCTTCTCTTCTGTTTGTATCCATATGTTTCTGCCTTACATTTGAATAGCAGTTCACTGACCACCGTGCCTTTGTCCAAGCTGCCTATTGCCCAGCCGACAAAAGAAATTCCGCTTAGTAGAATTCATCCTGGCTAGCAGGTAGTCAGAATTACTAATGACAGAGTTTATGTGATGTGTATATTTCTGAAGATTGAATAAAAGTGTCACCATTCTTCACAGGTGTAAATGTGTCTCTAAAGTGCTCCAGAATTTCAAAGTGCATGAATGAATGTTTGGGGATGCATGGGAGGAAGAAGGTGTTGGAACTCAGATCCCACTTCCTGTTGGTCAGGATGTCACCCTGCATCAGTAATGCCTGGAAGACGCTTGATCTTCCTGTGAGCTACCAGAGTGGCTCTTAGAGATGGTTCTCTCATGTCTTTTAAACATATGCAATAAGAACACTACTTCCAAGCAAGAGATTCCTTTCCAGTTATTAAAAATCTACAAAGTCATTTCTTCATGGTTTTGTTCCTTTGTCACTGTGTGTCTGCATTTCTAAAACAAATACATTTAAACCTTCCAAGACAATAGTCACAATGAAACATATGCATAGCCAATATCCTGAGAAAAATCATATGAATTCTTTGCTAGTCTTGCATTTTAAAAAATACCTTTATTTTTATTTGGGATATAGTAGTTGTATAAATTTATGGGGTACAATGTAACATTTCAACACATGCATGTGATATGTAAGGATCTGACCAGAGTTAATGACAAATACATGACCTGAGACATTTCTCATTGTCAGCCTTAAATTTATCTAGCATCTACTGTTAATGCTTCTCCACTCATGTTGTCTGTTTAATCCTTACAGAATCCTATACTATTGGCATTATATCCTTCATTTTACAAATAAACTGATAATCAGAGCAGGAGAGCAGGTTGCCCACAGCACGTAGGTACTAAGCAGTAAAGCCGCAACCGCCATACGGTTTCCCCATCCTGACCCAGGACTTCTTTTAAGTAACTCACGTGCTTGTTGGTCATGGGCTAATTGGCCACTTCCTCAGCAGAAAGCTGAGGTTCGAGAGGCAGCACAAGGGGGTTAGAATAAGGAAGCGTGCAACGGATCTGTATTAGGAGGCTGTAAGGACCAAACAAAGACTTCAGCAAGCCAGGAGTAGAGAGAGGGCAGCATGAACCTGGCCATCAGAAAGAGGACAAAAGCAGGACATAGTGCCTTTGTCACCGGCTTATATTGTATCTTCTGTCACCCAGGCCTTTTCCTGCTCCTTTATTCTTTTCTGATTAAGGAACTTGCTGTGAATGAGATGGCCGAAGCCAATGCAAGTCAAAAAGTAATCAGGAAGCAGGTGTATTCACACAGATCCAGCCAGACCACAGGGCCAGTGTGGAGAGGCTATCAATCATCGGCCCCCTGCAGCAAAGAGAAAGGTTGTGGCTTGAGCTGGGGCTCTTTGAATGAAGCAACAAAAATGCTTCAAGACAAAAATCTTCCCAAGAATAGATTTTTAAGAAAATCAAAATTGGAGCCTGTGGGAGTAAGGGTCCCGTGGGGATATCATACAGAGTCCGACACGTTGTCCCAAACCCAGGTGGGTCCAAGCCTTCCAGCAGGGTATTTAGAGATCCTGAGTCATTGGCAGTCATTGTATTCATGAACAGAGGCAGCTTCACCGGAAGAAATGGCACCAACCAACCCGAGAGACAGGGAACCCATGCAAATGCGGCAAGAGCAGGGTGGTGAGTGGACTGAGGTTTTGTCAGTAGTCCAGTCCAGTGCACCACACTGGACCTTCAGCCTTAGTTGGCAAAACCATGTCCTTGACTCTTGGCTGCTCTTCTGACCTTGCCAAGTAGAACTGCACCCTCCGAGCATGGGAAGCATTTCCATTAACTGAAACCCACGGTGTCAGGCATTATGCCAGCGCATGCTATGAAGCAGATCATCTCACCTCCTTTCCCAGTGGAAGACTCTCACCCCCAGACGTGGCAAGGAGTCTACTCAGCTAAGTCAGGGGTACTCATTATGGGAGTTCCAAAATCAGAGCACAGCAGATATTCTCAGAGATCATCCTCCCTAGGATGACTCTGGGTGACACTGCCTGGTTCACATATACAGGACCAACATCATAAACTTGGGCACAGACTTATACTAAGAAATCCTCCCCACCCCAAGATTTCCTGGACCTGCTCACAGCTCTACATTCACAGCAGGGAGTCCTCAGGGGACCTTGAGACTGGACTGAATGGTCTTCCATGAACCCTCAAAAGATTCCTCATCAATCTCTGAGTTAAATGAATCAGATTGTGTGTGGCTGGAGCTTTACCAGGAACAGAGAAAGAACTCAATCAATACCATCCTTTTGTACCCACAGCATCTCCCCACACATTACAACTTGTCCTGCAACCCCCATGTTCTCAGTCTTCTCTGGAAGAGCATCAGTGCCGTCACACCCTTACTGGGAAATACCTGGAGCTTTGATTTATAAGTTTGAATTTCTTGTCAGATACATTGCTTTGTCATTTGATATGTCACCCACCTGAGTCTTTCTAGCATCCCTATTAACATCATTAGCCCACAAAAGGAGAAAATCAACACGAGAACATTTATGTTCCTCAGAGGTAAAGGGTAGATTCGTAGCTAAACAGGAGCCTTTCTGTCTTCATCACGCCACTATCCAATTTCCCCCGGAAGCCTCGGGAACTTCAAAGTCTAGGCCCCACCCCTGTCATGGTCCTAGTGACTCTCAAAGTTTCCTTTGGTCACAGGGTCAAGATCGGAAGCAGCAGCATCTTTGCCTCAGCGGAAGTCACAGGTCTGCCGATAGCCAAGGACATTCAAATACCCATGGCACCTGTTAGTTCAACCAGTGTTGGGCTTGAGTGAGAGAAACACCCACATGTGTGATTCTTAGCTGCAGGTTTGAGAATTTTAGCCACATTACCTTTGCAAGATGAATGCCTCTCTAAAAATTCTTCAAACCACAAAAAGCTGGAATGTCACACACTCTGGAAAGGATACAGTTCTAGAACTTTATCTGCTGTTTAAATTTCCAGTCTTTCAAGAAAGGCTGCCAATTTAGATAGCTTCCATAATATGTCACAGTCTGTAATAAGCTTTCCTTGAGGCCTAAACAGAGACAGAAAGAATCGCATGATCTCTTATCTAGTCCATGGCACTTTGGCCCTGTCCTCTGGTCTTGTCTGACCATGCACGTGACTTTGCTGTAGCTTATTTTAGAACAAAGCATTCAGATTAAATGCCTTTTCTTTCTCTATGATCTTTTACAGGATTTTTTTTCTTCCCTGTGAAAAATGGTGTTTTATTGTCACCTTCAAAGCAGAAAAGCAGCCTCTTAGAGATGGACAAATCACCCACAGGTAGAAAATGTAAACACACTTTGAAATCCTGGGGATAAAGATGTGGCCCACTCCCTTTAAAGTAAGTATGAGCTGGCTAATTCTAACCAATTTTGATTCTTCTTTCAGCTAAGATCCAATTCTGCTGATTGCCCTTACACTCTGCATACCAAAAGAAAGACATTGGCAGAACTGGACCCTTTCAGGAGTAAGCCAACTTCTCTGGTGTCACATAGCTACTCATCTTCAATATTCCTTAGCAACAAAACAAGAAGACTGGCCTCACCACAGAAAGTCCTTTAAAACAAACCTATGTTGTGAGTATAAAGCAGTATAATTTCTACACTCTGTGGGCTCTGTGATCACACCGCTGAAAGAATATGTGTTGGTGGTTTGCTTTTCTTTTTGTCAGTTTTAGTTTTACCTTAGTTTTGTTTTGCAAGAGTGAGAGGGGAAGAGCCCTCTAAGCAGCCCTGCAGAATGAGCCCTGCATTTTATGGTCACTGACTTCATCTGGGGAGGCCGGAAATGCTGTTGCTACCCCGTGAAACCGGCTTTCCTTTGTCCTGCAGTTTTTAACTTAGATCTGCACGCTGAAGATTCCCTCCAGCTCCTCCCAGCCCTGGACTTTGTGCCTCTCTCCGATTACTGATTGTGGGTCTGTGAGTGTTCCTGTGGGTTTTTATTTGTTCACACTTACTGAAAAGTATGTGTGTGTGACAAAGAGGAAGAGAGCTGGGCAGGCTTTTCTGGTCCGTATCCCTCAGTTGGCTGCCTCTACAGTCAAGTGGTGACTCCAGTGGAGAGCTTGGAGATGAAGGTCCCATGCAGAATCCTTGCAGTGGCTCCTCTGTTCCTGCTCCTCCTCTTTTGCTCCTGGGCCTCTCCAGCTCCCGATGACCAGTTCAGCATGGGTCACTCCAAAAGGCACCAGTGTATAGGTATGTACTTTTGTGTTTTTTGATGTGGACATAATAATCAGGTCTAATACTTTGCTTGCACAACAGACCACATACCTAATGACTTGCGTGGCTGTGAAATTCCAAGGTACCAGTAAACACACAGACATTGATAATTTTTGAGTCTTGGGGTAAGGATTCACAGACTATGCATATAGGTATATAGACAGATGTAGGATGTGCAGTTGCTAGTCTGATAAGCCAGAAAAATTTTCTACTTCATTGATGGGTGATATTTGTTTCTCTTAAGTAAAGAGTTGTAAGAGCCTGAAATTCTTAACTCCTTTTTGGCACCTTGCCTACTTCTCCTCCTCTTGCCCATCTCTTACTGGTTATGAAGTCTTGAATTAGTGATTAACTTTCCCATTGCCTTTGTGTCTTCACCAGTGAAACAGGGTAATAATCCCTACTTCACAGAGAGGCTGTGAGAACTCAGGTCACACATGTAAATGTGTGCTATTTGACCATTGTATGGATTCAGCCATCTCAGCTTTCATCATTGTTTCAGGGAGTCCAGACTTTGTGGTCAGCTGAAAACTGACTGACTTATCACTGGTTTATTTCCACATTGTTTTTGGTTTGCATTTGGTTTGACTTTTTGGTTTCTTCTGGAAGTGAGTCAGAAGTAACATAAGACCTTTGATATTCATATTGTACCTGGAACGTTCATAGCTGTGGTGGCCATTTAGATGGGACAACCCATGAAGCCACACCCACTTTGAAGTGAGTAGCAATTGTTCAGTCAGTAGCAACCGGGTGGCAAGTGTTCAAAATAGGATTCTAGTTTGAGAACCCAGAAAAAGAAATTGAGGGGTAATATGGTAGCCATACGCTATACAAGGGAAATCTTGACAGATAGTCTAACACTTAGGAATGATTTCTGGAAATGGTATGGAAAAATATTTGAATTAGTCCTACTTTCTAAAACCATGACCTCGTGGTTTTAACCACATTAAAGAATATACCCAAGCTTTTAAGTTTATGACCTAAAGATCTCGATTCCTTGCAAATCTATTGTCCAGAGATCAAAAAGCAGAAGTTGAAGCTACCTCTGCTCTGTGCCAGGGAAGTCACTCTGTCTCTGCATTTGGTGTTTTTATATATTATTTACTGCCATCCATTTTCTCAAAACAAAATCCTGAAACTTGTCAGATGCAAATATACTTAAGAAAGGCTTGAGTGAGATCAGTTCTACTTCTAGGCTGGTTGCAAATCAAATGTTTGGATTTAGGCAAGTTACCTACCTTGGGCCTTCACCTGGATCAAATGGACTCAAGATACTCATTCCCTTCCCTGCCCCACTCCAGTAAGGCCACAGAATGTTAGAAGGAGGTAGTGAGGGGATTCCTGGATGAGGTTGTTCTGGTTCCATTAAAATTCATCTATTATTTATTATTTGTGGTTGAGGAATCTGTTCAGAACCTGACTGGTGATATTTCTGCTCCCTGTAGGAATGACTGAGGTGACCAGATAGGATTTGGATGGTGGCTTGATGGGTCCAAGGCAGCTTCACGTACACATGCAGCGCCTTGGGGATGGGGGATGGCTCACCTGGAGAGGTCCATTTCTGCACATGGCAGTGTCATGGTGGTAGAACTTCTTGCATGACAGTTCAGAAGTCCCACAGGCAGAATTCAAAAGACAGGGCCTAGAAGCTTCCCAACCCTCAGATCTTGGGTCTGGAAATGGCACACAGCATCATTCCTGCCTACCCGTTTCTACTCAACTTCTTGCGAACTCGGCCTGTGTGACTTGGTCATTTGTCATTGTAACCAGAAAGATGCACGTGAGATGATTCATTCAGCAAATGACATTTGCTGAGTACTGGCCATGTACCCGGAGGGCTGCTGAAAGGGCTCCCTGCCTGATGTTGGTTAGGTGTGGAAATGGACATTTATGAGGAGGGGGTTTTCCTGAAGTGCCCACAGCCAAAAGACCAGTAAGAAAGAGAAAGTGGTAGGAGGAGACCTGAGCCAGAGCCTCAAACCAGGACCATTGTACAGTGAGCACTGGCACTCGGAGGGTCCCTTGAACCTGCCCTGAGGTGAGCCAGCCCGAGCCAGGCCACACTGTGGCCACCAATGAGAACTGACTGCAGCAGAGGTGCCTTAACTGAGACATTTCTTGGGACAAATGCTCCATTATCTGTAAGATCAACACTCCAAGAAGCTAAGGGGAGCCAATGCCTCTGAATGGGAGCCTGGGGTGTCCTTCCATGGAGCTATGTGTGGGAAATGTCCTAGGAAGCACAACGGAAGCTGGCTCGCAGCCAGTGGTTAGAGGAAGAACTTCAGGGCAGAGGCAGGAGAAGAGATGAAATCATGGGTGGGGCTTTGCTAATTCAATAAAATAGGATTTTATGCCTTCACACCCAGCTGCAAGAAGGATCCCCAAACCTTTCCATACACTCCCTCATCACCTGCTACCTCTGTTGCCACCATAGGCCAAGGCTGGTGCTCTGAGCCAATGTCACAAGATTAATAATTTCTACTTTAATAATACACGCCTTTAGGAAAGTCATTGTCTGGTTTTGAGAAAAATAAAAACCTGGAGACTGGTTAAGATTATGGTCCTTTAAATGAGGAATGAACTGGGCACTTAGCAGAGGTGATAAGATGCCCTTGTCAGCTCCCTGTATGTAGCAACACTAACAGCAGAGGTGCAGAGAACCATGCAGAATGGGTCAAAGGCACTCAGCACAGAGACAGACAGCAGAGGGCAGAATGCCTGTGTTCACCGCAGGAAGGAGGAATTATAACCTGAGTGAAGTGAGAGGATTATGTTGAAATTTCAGAATTTTTGGAAATAGTTCTACACAAAGATGGCTGATATAGAAGAAGCACCAGTTACCTCAGATTCTCTGCACCAGCTACCTCCTTCCTGACAGATTCTGGCCAACACAACCTTGCTGAGAGAAGTTGGCCAGCCAGTTGAATGTCAGTCAACCCCATTGGGCAAGAAGGACTTGACCTTATTAGATATCTTCTATCTTTTGGTGGCTGTACTTGTATAAAGTTTTAACTGGGTCACAGAGTACATTTCTTCCTTGGTTAACATCATAATAAAATACTATGTCCACCTTCCCAACATGCGAAAGTGACTTCTTTCCTATTTTACATGGAGTTCCATTTTGACTTAGTTGAGTTCCATCCATTTCTGTGCAAATGAGTATTCATACGTGCTTCTTACCTATAAGGCTTGTTTAGCTGTTAGTTCATCAGCCTATTTGCAGCTCCCAGTATCTCTCCATGGGGTGTTAACCATCCATGTTTTTATGGAGCTTAATCTGGAATAATTGGAGTGATGCTTTCAGAAAATAATTATTATATCTAAGAGATCTTCAACCATGTAAATTAAATTGTTATATCAAAAACTACTAGACATATTAGCATTTACTGAGCATTTGCTATGTGATGAATAATTTTCATAGGGTTTATGTGTATTAATTCATTTAATCATCCTAATGACCTCATGGAGTACAATTAGCAGATAAGCAAATTTGAAACAGAGAAGTAGTAACTTGTTCAAGGTTACACAGGTAGTTAAAACTTGGCTTTTTATTCCTCACTGTCATTCTAACTGCATCATTTTTGATGCAATTAAGTCAGGCTAATACAGTTATTCATCACACTTTTTATAATACCTGCTTTATTGAGGTGCAATTTACATACTATGAAGTTCACCCTTTTAAAGTATAAAATGAAGTGGCTTTTAGTATATTCGTGCATTGGGTATCCATGGTCAGTATCTAATTTCAGAACATTTCACCACCCCAAAGAGAAAGCCATTGCTCATTAAAAGTTGTTCCACATATTTTTCTCTCTATGGTGCCTAGAAATCACTGCCTATTCCTTTTCTTTTGAGCAGTTTATGCAGTTGCAATAATGTGATATGTGGTCTTTTGCTACATGCTTCTTTGACTTAACCTAATGTTTTAAAGGCTGTTTTATTTTATAGCATCTACCAATTTCATTTTTTTTCTTATGACTGAATGACACTCCATTGTAAGGATATACCTCATTTTCTGTATTTATTGGTACATGTTTATGATACATAATAATTGCACTTGTCTTGGAGAATTGGTACATATACATATCACATCTTAATCATTTATTTCCTCTTCCCCTTTATACTATCTATCCAATTTTATTTATCTATTCATTATTTATGGACATTTGAGTTGTTCTTACTTCTCAGTTAGTGTGAGTAATATCCCTGTGAACATTTATAGGCAAATTTTCATGTGGACTGCGTTTCTGTTTCTCTTGGTTGCATAACTAAGAGTGGAAATTCTAGAACTTAGGCTAACTTGACCTTTAACACTATAAAAAAGTTTTCCAGAGCACATGCATTGTTTTACATTTCTACCAGTTGTGTAGGAAGAGCATGACTTCTCCACCTTTTCACCAGTACCTGTTATTATCTTTCTTTTTATAGCCATAGTAGCTGATATGGAATGAAATATTTGTGACTTTGATTTGTTCTCAAATGCTAATAATGTGGAATATTTTTCATGTGCTTTTTGCCCAGTTCTATATCTTCTTCGAAGAAATATCAGATGTGATCTGGCATGCTCAGGGTGACATAACTGTACACTGAAGAAACATTAATTCAAGTCTTTAGCCCATTTTTATATTGGTAGGTTTATAATTCTATTGTAAATTTTAAAATATATTCTAGATAAAAGTCCTCTATCAAATTATGATTTACAAATACTTTCTCCAATTCTTTGGACTTTTCTCCACTTTCATAATGGCATCTTCCCAAAAGGAAACATCTTTTTGATGAAGTTCTATTTACTTATTTATTCTTTGACTTGAGCATTATATTTAAGATCAATGTTTTTAAACTTATTTTTCTCTTGTCTTATGTCCATTTGTTTATCTTATTTCCCAGACACCCAGCTCCTAACTACCATATTGGCAACTAGAAGTGTGATCTATAGGATTGTAATTAAGAGGAATTAAATTGAAAGTATGAAC